ACGCGCGGAAGTCCGCAAAGCTCAATAACAGGAAACTATAGAAGTAAACGAACATAATTCGCGTTTACCGTATATCTATAACGTTTATTTCAATGTGCAAGACATGGAGAAATAATTGCATCAACTAGAATCCAAAATAGTTATCATACTGACTTCAGTAAAAGCAGCATCGGAAACAATAAATTTGGGATTTACAGATGATCGTAATTTATAGCTACTCGATATCCATTATACAGTTCGGATTTAATGAACCAACTCACCGAAAGTGAGTCACAGATCCATTTAAGTCTGATCGGTTTTGCTGGACTGATATGTATTCACTGATATACATTAGAATGTATTTTTGAAAAAGTAAACATGACCAAAAATATTCCGACAGCACACAGTCCGGCATACGTCGAACGTTTCTACCATAGGTAAGATAAATATTTGGATGTGCTATAACATGTACTCGCCAGATGACCAATGAATTTCAGGTGAAGGCATAACCAATGAGAAATAACGTCGATTTTTATTGGCCGAGGATCTGGTTATAAACTGTTCTATCTAAAATTGATGACAACGGTAACTATTTGGAAAATAAGCCAGACAGAAACTCTATCTGATTTGGGTGGGCAGTGAAAACATTTGAGGGACACGGAACTAGTAAAACATTCTAAGACAGAATTTTACTTGTTTTCCTTATTAACACCAAAACAGATTGGACCGGTTTTGGTCTTCCGACAAAATCTGATATGAAGTCGTTGACGGTAAGTGTTTGATAACATCATGAGCGGCTCGAGACAAAATGACTTCAGTTGAGACGCGCATCACGGCGCTCACCGAAAGGTCAAACAAGTGCACCAGATAGGACATATGCATGGACCGAGCAACAACCCTAGAACATATCATGGGATGATCAACACAGTCGTCGGTCAAGGCCGAAGCCAAGCTACGGAACCAAAGCCAATTAGGCTAGGTGCTGCATTTATTTCACATATATTACCTTATTGACAATATACCAGACAACTTTTGTCGTGCCTAATTGCTGAGTCTTTTGCAGTCAGTCGGGGTAGTTTGAGATCGTATGAACCAGCGTTACAACAGATACGTATTTAGCCACGTAGTAGTTTTTGCAACTATAACTCTTCTTAAATAAATGGGAAAAAAGTTGACTGGGTAGAACTTATCTAAGCTGCTATGTGTAATTTATCTCCAAAATTTTAAGTGTCTAGACTAGCATTGGTGATATCCAGGGAAATCTAGAAAATTCACCCATTCAATGGACCCATCATATCACGTCTGTTGATAGAACAAAACTATCAAACGCAGCAACCTTGTAAATTCAGCGTTCTTTGATTCCTCTGAAACACATTCAACTGTGATGAAAAGGTGATTATAACGTGCTTGAACACACATTTTCTCCCTCTAAGGTGAACGCAACAATACCGTGTTGCTTTTAGCCAGCTGGTAAACGTTACAACCAGAGATTAAAAGTTTTCGCAGTCACTTAATTCACACATCAGTCGGTCGCAAATCTGTGAATCGCGTGGAAGCACAGTCAACTGCGTTGAAATGAAATGGCTGGCAGAAGTGCTGGAAGTGATTGGCAGTAAAATTCACAACTGAGTCATGACAAATTTAAAAAGATAGCATTTGATTTTAACTCACTCAGCAGGTTTTCGCCAACTGACTTTGTGATACTTTAAAACCAGTTTGTTGCAAGCGTATGTGAGGATAGAAATTAAGACACAATATTACAGTTGCGACTCTTGTTCGTAAAGTGTTCCACTATGGAAGATAGGGCATTTCTTTCTGTCCAGGTGTCACTCACCAATAAGTATATTAATACACATTCCGGCAGCTTTGGCAAGGGTTCAAAGTAATCTGTCTGTTCTAATAACGTACATGATGTCGCAACTAAAGGACAACTGATGAATGCAAAGAATTACTGATAAGTAGTTTGGCAGTTTTGATCATCTGGAGAGACCTGACTTCGTAGCTTAGCAGATAGAACACTTGCCACGTTTGGGCATTTTTTATGGTCGCTGGTTCGAATCCACCCGAAGTCCAGATTTTTCGTAATGGGGTCTCTTCTGAAGGAAAAGGACTTAAAATCCGGTATGCTATCAGAGGGTGGATGCAGCATGTTTCGTGGGAATTTTATGTTTTTTTTTCAACGCCACATTTTTAACTTCGAAGTCATTATTTACCCTTTGCACCTGATAACGGAACAATCTTACAAGTGTTCTGTTCAATTCAGAAAGAGTGACGTGGTAGTTTCAATTCCTCTACCTTGTCCAGAGAATTAGAACACCATGTTTGTAATGTTATACATCCAAAACTCGTTCAACCAGTTTCATTTGTCAGTCCATCGTTAGTTGAGGAAAGTAGTGTGATCAACCAGGACAAGCAAGGGTAGCAGTTCTTATCATACACCACCTCTGCGGTGTTGTTGTTTATCACGGCAATCCGCTTGCAACATCAGGATAACTAATAAGCTACTCGGTCACCTCGTAGCCAGAAATTCAACGGAGGCCACTAACATTCAGTCAGTACAATCCCTCATCGGTCTACTTTCACTAAACACCGGTAGGGATAGCTATGTCTGTCGTATACGCTTAAGTTTAGTTACGCCTTCAAACGCTTCCACTGTGGGATATTACAGTTGTAAAACCGTCAAGCCAACAGGTAACCCAACTGAAATAGCTTTCCGGTATGGTATGACCAACACAGTTGTCTGTTCTCTTCACTGGTCATACGAGACAAACGACCAGACAGATACGTCAATTAACGAATCAACAGAGCAAATATTCATCAGACAGTCAGTTGTGCGTTCAACTAAAAGGTGGAAAAAAGGCAAAACACTCAGTGATTCGCTTGTTCTTGTGCACAACATGTGTAACACACTAGAACAAGTGTCTGCACAAGTCAAACTAGTGCAGCTGGAAACAAACGTTCATGTTAACCAGACAACCTACACCAGTCTCGTGTGTACGCACCACGTTTGATTTGATCAATCTATCTTTCGTAGGATTTGGTCAACATTTTCAGGTGAAAAAGATAAAAATCTTATTTGGTTGGTGCAAAGGTTATATAAAATATAACTATTTTACTGTGACGATAAATCGAGGTGAACAACACGAAATCTATATTTCAACTAAGGCAGTAGTTAGCGTAATAGCTTCGATTCCTGTTTGAACGCGGATACACAAGACTAGTTCTTCCTGAAATGAATAAGGTACTTGGTTGTTAAACGTCAGCCTCAAAACCAGCAAAACGCCGTTTTGATTAACTCACAGTGTATCGCTGGTGATATATATACCAGTATGTAATACCTGCTGTGAGTTGATAGAACCGTTTAGGTCGAAAGCTTCAGTGATCAGAAATATGCTACAAATGTGACCGGATTCAACCATATTGCTTAAACTAAGTTTCAGAATGTCAGTTGTTAAGCGAAAGCATTTAGAGGCTATAAGTCAAAAGTTTAACAATAATTCGTCCACTTAATTCGAAATTGCGAACAAGCGAATGATTGGCAAACGGCAAACTACATGATTGATTCCTTGAAAAATTGAAAAACAGATCAAGAAACCGATCCATCCGACCAACCTACCATTCGAATTTGTGGAGATTCGCTCAAGGTGACCTTCACGAGGAGTTCCGGAAGGAGATATTGTGACCGACTGATACTAAGTAAAATTTCAAAACATTATTGTATACAAAGTTGAATAAAAAATTAAAAAAATCTTTTCCAAACTGACGTAAAAATGATAATGAAACTGTCAGACAATTCAACTCGAAGCAGACCGACCATAAAATCGTAGCATCATCCTCGACCAGTAGATTAATCAATGGGCTTAATAAAGACACGTGAGTATCCTAGAAAGAGGCGGAGTATCGCTGTTGGCTGAAAAAATCAAAGCTTCTGTCACCAACAGATAGTCTACATGATTCAGAAAGCAGACAAAAGATGATATCACATCATTGCTACATGTCCAAGGACGCAGAAAATGGAAGTTGTTTGAAGTAGATAACTGAGTTACCGTGATCCTGTTTTTACAGTGGTTGGCGTTAGTTTATAAATGTTTAGTCACTCTTTGTTCCAGGTTTGTATTTTATATATAATCTGCTTGTTCAGCATCTGTGATTGACTGAAATAAACAAAATATTAACCTATAGCAACATATGTCACATTTCCGAACCGGTGAAGCTGTTTCGTGATCAGTGTTATTCCGTATCCATCGCAAATGTTGCATTTTTCTTGTGTACTGTCTATTCTGCTACCATAACACAGTCAGGTATTGACCAACGTTTTAACCCATAAGTTTTTAGTCACATTTTACAACCCAGAATGTGGAGTCTGTTTGTTTGATACTCTCCTCATACTTCACTTCAATGATATACTAAGACCACAGAAAGAGAAACAATGATCTTGACCATTGGGTATCTTTCAGGGAGCCCGTCTGCCTGACTTATTGATTTTTTCAACAAACACAACCCTAGTGAGCCAAATTGAGGCAAGTCAACGCAATTAGCGAGGAATCCGGAGTGTGATTTACAAACTGCCCAGCTGTTTGCCTAACGAACGCAGATTGCACATTTCTTTTGCATATGTAACACAAATTAGCGGTTTACCCATCATTCATTTACAAACGGCTAACAACAGTAGGGCGTGATCTTTTAACTTGACTGACGGTTTGTAGCTTTTTGTCGTATCGAACGACAAACTTCCTACCGCATTTAAACGCAGTCTCTGACCGACAGTTGGTGCGCTTACCCTGTTCCCTACGCAATAAACGTTTACTGGCAAGGCACTCTGAGCAAATATATTTTCCGACATATTCCTCAGAACACTGGTGCCTTGCACTGTAAGTTTCACCGTGAAATGGCAATAACACTGGAATTAAAAATACGCTGCAGTGTGATGAGTCACTTGTCATCGCGTCCAAGGTCGCAAAGGGACAAGTGTGGTACTTAGCAAATAACTGGGATGGTAAGCTATACATTAATGTTCATAAATGCTTTGCGGCGTTTAAAGCTTCAGCCAAATTATACATTTCGTGTTGTCATGATACCAAACATGATACAAGTTCAAGCGAAAGCAGCTGAGAGTGAGTCATCGAGGGGATAACATGCTGCAAAACTGTTAGCAAGTTAGAGTAAACGGAAAGTCTTCAGAACCACATTTTATGAATTATAAAACTGGTGTTCGTAGGAGTTTGAAAATAACGCAAGTAAATTATCAGTAAGGATGTAAAAATAAAGCTGGAACTGTGAACATGGTAAAAGACATGTTTATCAAACTTCAAAAGTTTAGGTAACTCGGTTGTTATGATACTTGAAGGAATAAGAATAATGGCAAATAGCATTCCCGGGTTGCATGGTCTAAGACTTACAGACCACGCAGAGTGAGACTTCTGGTATTTGATACGATTGTCTATGCATAAGGTGATTTAGAAAGGTAGCTGGTGGAACTCATGGAACTTACGAGAAAATATTCTCACAAAAATGTCCGTATGCTATATTGTGTTCGTTTGTATTTTGGTTGTAGCTGGAGTTGCTCAGCGTTCAAAGTATTGTCAACATATTGTGTCTTTGTTTGCTGCTGATCTTTGTATCAAACCATGCATTACTCGTGAACAGACAGAATGTATGATTAGATTTGTGTCTATTGTTAAATCAATCAACTTCTGCTCCAGGTCCTTCTTCAGACCTATTTAGTCCTTCCGAACAACCGAATGTATAGGTTTCAAACTCGACAATGCTTATAGATTAGCTCAGAAGTACATTACGTTGTCAAGCATTGCAAACTACTCTACAAATAGACTGCTACAATATACTAACTAGAATATGCTAATTTAATTAAGATTCGGGGTGAGGCCAGCAATAATGAAGGCCTGTTGTAGTTCTCTGAGTGCTCTCAAATCATACTTGCTTAACCTTTTGTTTTCTGTGTTCTTCCAGATGCAGCAGCACCCGCATGTTACGTTTCGTAGGCTGCATTGTTCACTATCGGAAACCTTCATATCATTATTAGGCAAGGTCGGTATACCAGTAATACCACTGTGGGTTACAACGGTCTAAGCCGTAGTAACCCAATACACTGTAGTCAACAACAAAACTGTCAGTAATACTCGGTTTCTTAACCACGCTGTCTCCAAACGTATTGCAAAATTTGTCGACCATGTATTAAGTGAATATTATTCACTTTCCCGGCAACATATTGTTGTTCGCCTTTCTTTAACCTTTTTCATTCATTCACTTAACTTTTGTAACAAGGCAAACGTACTTAATTTTTACAAATTTAAACAGTTCGTTACTTCTCTCTATACCTACTGGAATGACCTGTTACAATGAAACACACAAACACTATGTGAATCGTGTTACTTTTTGTTCATCATCTTTCCAATTTTCTTTCAATTTGTGTGCACCAAATATATTAACTTTTACATGCAGAAGGAACGGATATGCTTTATTTGATTTACCTGGGTCAAACAGATACATTCTTGTGAACGTTATCCTAACTATCAATCTGCCCCCAAACCCTGCTTCACTAACATGCGGCGAGATTGGGCAGTTTAAAGCTGCTTGTCTGTCGCATGTCCTACAGAAACTAACCGGCACAGGTTGGTCTATACACACTGTGCTGAGTCAATGGTTTGTCGCTTACTTTCACTACCGCAGACCTCTTGTCTGAACTTTGAGTTAATGCGCGAACTCCAGTCATGCGCCACGAAGATGTGAGATGTAGTAACACTCCTGTCAACACTGACCTTCCATCTTGCTAACAAATACCTCTTGCTCACACAAACGTGTCGTCATGATAGAAAGGTTTCGTTAGTTTCTTACATCAGTACTAGGTCCACAGTGTTATTCAACAGTCCAGCTGACTACAGTAAGCGAAAAGAATTTAGTGGAACTATGGTAATGCGCGAAGCCAAATGACCTGTTCAAAAGAGGGTCCAGCATGAGTTGTTTGTCAACAACTCATATTATATGAGTTGACAGCCAACCACAGAACTTCAACGGTATAGTTGAAGGTGAGACACGACATTGGGTCCTAGCTTGT